TTGATTGAAGTACACACATTTTTTTCAAGACATTTCTTACAGTTCTAATGTTATGGATGAAGATGATTTAGATATAAACGATGTTTGTCTTTGTTGATCGTTTTGTTTTTCGTAACCTTTATGTTTCATTAAGTAGGGAAAAAACAAGGAGAAGTTTTATGCTGGTCAGTGCGACTGCCTACAAAGGGCGAAGCTGATAATTTTGTTTTGTTTTGTCTTGTTTTGTTTTGTAGGCTACTGGCTCCATACCTATCACTGTTCGCCACATTGAGTCGATGATCCGAATGGCGGAAGCACATGCTAAAATGCATCTCAGAGAATACGTTACAGAAGACGATGTGAACATGGCGATTAGGGTCATGCTAGAGAGCTTTATTGATACACAGAAATTCTCGGTCATGAGAAATATGAGGAAGGTAGGTTAGAAAGCTCGTTAAAAGATTGAATTTTTTGACAACGTTTTGACAGACGTCGAGCTATGTTACAGGTTGTTGAACGTTATATGATATTGGCAGTCAATCTCTCTCAGTTCGTTCAACAACCTTCAACTTTGAATTGCCTGTTTCAACATTCAACATGGCATAACACTTTGTTCAACGGTTGTCGAACAAGAGCTGAACTGTGTGTCTCTGAATAAAAACTGTACAAAATTCTTTATTGGTATATTTTGCTGAAAAAATTTCGACTTCGTCGCACATGCCAGAGTTATACCGAAGGTCGTCATTTTCGCTGAATAAAACGTAAAATACTTAACCAATATGATGCTGATTTACCATAAACTCGTGGAAGGTTATTTACAAAAAGTTTTCAGTTTAAGTGTTTGGAAACGAAAACTGTGGACTTTGAGGCGTCGTTTGTCAGAACAATCTTTGGTCGCGAAGCATTTTTAGCGGAGACAAACCGTTATTCTGAGAAGGTTTTTTACAAACTAACTATTTTACAAACGCTTACCTTTCCACTTCCTGGAAAGCATGTAAATCACACCATTTAAAAACTACGAATAGAAACGCTTGAATCCTTAAACTGGTGTGGCTGTGGTTTGTGATTGGCAGCAAAGTCACCTGTAACTTTATCAACCAATCAGAAGTTAAATCCAAACCAATCGTGAACTTGCTGTCGCCTGTATATTTTCCCGCTCTTGACGCGGGCTACATGTATTTGTTTCTATATCTCATTGGTTCATTTGATTGTCTGCCCGTTCAGTGATTGGCTGTAATGAAGGTTGTTTACCATTTACATGGGCAAACCGGTCAGTTCACGGTTTGCCGAGTAACTAGTAAACAACACACAGCAGTTGTTTTGTTGTCATCAGTTGAAAATTACTCTACCTTATTGTACGTTCTGTTTTCTGAACAGGCATTCTCGCAGTACTTGGCCTATCGCCGCGATAACAACGAGTTGCTGTTGTTTGTGCTGAAGCAACTGGCTAAAGAACAGACAACGTTCTTCCGCAGTCGTTACCGAAGCGAACCTGATGTGATCGAAATTCAAGAGGATGAATTTACGGACAGGGTAAGCTATCACAACACATTCAAGACATAATATACCAAAAGTATTGAGATGATTCACTCTGAGAGCGATTACTTCCCCGATGCAACTAAATCAATTATACTCCATCGCAATTGCTGCAATTGTGTTTTTATTTAACTTCATCAAAAAATTGCAGCCTGAGAAAACAGCCGAAATATCGTGATTCTGCTCAGTTTGCCCGCAAAATGACGTGTATGGAAGGACTGCAGAATTTCATACTGATGACGTGTCACTACCCAGATCTGGGTAGCGCTTCTAAGCCGGGTTGTTCAAAGCAGGGTTAAGATAACCCAGGGTTAGTGCGAAATTTGAATTCAGATATGAAAGCTTAAAAAGCAAATGCAGTTTTATTTTTAATGCCTACAATTTGATGATTGGATTCTCTAAAAAGAATAGAGAAAATTATCCGGGAAAATGCGTTTGAACAAATGAAAAAAAAAACCAGGTCAAAATTTAACCCTGGGTAAGCGCTAATCGGCCTTCGAACAACTGGGCCCTCATAGGCGTATGGGCCGGGGGGGCGAGGGGGGCTGCAGCCCCCCCAAATTTTGGGCAACTCAGATTTTTTGGGCAGCGAGAGAAAATTTGGGCAAAGCCAGTTTTTGAAGACGTTTCCGTGTTTTTGAAATCATTATTTTGAAGAGATAAATATTTTCTATTTTAACCTGAAGTTGGCGTAATAATCCAGTTCTGTTACGTTTACAGGAGACAGTGGTTGCCTAGCACGTAATGAGTTTCTGGTTATAAGGGAAGGGTATCATGTGCTGTTTTTTTTTTTATTGTTGGGCACTGTACTGCAATGGGCAATTTACAGTCGTGAATTTATTAGAATAAACTTCCGCCTAACTTTCTAGAATCATCTGCACTCGTAGAACAGTGTATGGTAGATAGCATCAGCAATGGGTCTGAAAGCGAAGAAGTGGCTGACTAATTCTCAGTTTGAATTACGCAAAGAATCGTATTTTTTAAACAAAAAAATCTATCGAGTGGTTTAAAGATTATTCACTAATTTGTTAAAGTAGTATAGACCGAAATGTTTACAAAACCGCTAACAAGAGGGCCATGATACATACTAAACACTCAAATCCTTTTTTGACCGGAGCTATCTCCATGATCTTTTACCCACGTTTTTAAAAAGATTGAAACTACTATGAGGTGAAATTGCATGTCAAAAGCGCTTCGTTTTCTACAGATAACGGCCAAACAGCAAGATTTTCCTTTTTTACCGTATTTCTAACGATAAAAACTTTATACCAAAATATCTCCGCAACGCTCTTACAGATTCCGTTTTAATTTGACGAACATCGAGGCGACTATTGGAGGAAAATGCTTCCGTGGACGATTTTGGAAGAACAGTTCCCAGTGAGAAATGTTGCTGCAAGTATAATAGGTAATAGCATCGTTTGGTTGCTATGACAACTCCGATGTTATTTCAACCCGGATCATAACAAATTTTCATCTTTATCTAATACAACTGTGGTGGCAATTTTTCCAAATGTTTGTTCATGGTGTCGTAGTCTATGCTCAAAAAAAACTTCACAGGTATTGACCCTGAAAAACTGTACCGAGCCACTTTCATATGCTAGTACGGCCTATTTTGTTGCATCTTATGGCCCTCGTTTCTGTTCGACTGTTTTGTAAAAATTTGGGCAACTTGCAAGAATTTTTTGGGCAAATGGTTTACCGCCCCCCCTGACAAAAAATTGCCCGTACGCGTATGTGGGCCCTTATTCGGGTCACGCTGCGAGGGACATTATCTTTAACCAATAAAAAGTACTAAGTGCCTTGTGAACATAGCCAAAATTATGTTTTTGTTTTCTTATATTTTTAGGCTCGCCAAATCAACATTACAAGCCTTGGATCGTTCTATGACAGCCCAATGTTTACATCAAACAAGTTTATCCACGATAAGAAGAGGAAGCTTATCATCGAGACTCTATAACTTGTTACAATTCCATTGCTACGTAACTGGTCCGTCCAAAAGCTTCTTTTTCTTTTGGTCGATACGTTATCTTTAACAAGTGAAATCCTTTCGCTTCCCGAGAAATTTCCACTAGAAACTGCTACATTTTTGAACTCCTGTCGAACAACCCTTAAGCCACTTGCGTGGTGTTAAAAACTATTGTAAATTAGTTATTCGTTCAGTGGCTAGACTGCAAAACAGTCCGTATTTTTGCGTATTCAAGTACGCGCGAGTAGTCAAGCAAAAGGTCTGGAACGAGGCTGAAACCAGAGAGCGAGACTGGGAAGAGGCGCTAAAAATACGGGCGTGTGAGGCTTGCGCGCTTCGCGCGCGTAAGATTGTTACGCCACGCTTTACCCATTTCTTTACTTATTTTGAGAAAAAAACGACTGTTTGCAGTCTATCCAGTGGCGCAGTTTCATAGGAAATTTACTTGCATATCCGTTTACAGTGGGATCCACATCGCAGTGGTTTGGGCAGTTCTTACGAAAACATGCTGTGGTCGGTTTTTTGAAAATCTCAGCGGATGTGTTTCTTGTAATAAGGCCTGCGCGCGTGTTGAGTTTGACCAGCGATAGTTTTCCTTGCCATTCAGTGCGCATGACTATAATCACATATTTTTCAGTGTCCGCTTTTAATGTGAGGATCGTTTTCACCTTCTTGTAGACAGACTTGTAAATTAGCGCTTGTGCTGTTTGTACAGATTGTTTTGTATCACTGGTATAAAATATATGAGATAATATTTTCCCAATTTACTATGTGAAAGTCATTGCTTTAGTGTTAATAGAGGGATAAGTTCAAATCTTAATAAATAGATAACCTTATATCCTCCTTCAGGAGTCGTAATGGCTACCTGTAAACAGTAGGGCTATTTATACGAGGAAAAACAATACGGTCTTACATTAGACGCGTTCTGATAAGACTCACACTATCTCGTATAAACGGGACATTAAGACGCGACTTAGCTAAGACGCGTCTTATCGAAGAACAGGTGTTAGGGGCTGTTCTTAGATAAGACGCGTCTTAACTAAATTTCAAACGAAATGTGCCGTTTATACGGGATAGTTTGCCTCTTATGTAGCACGCGTCTTATATAAGATAGGTGTTATTTTCCTCGTATAAACGGCCCTAGTGTATCTCTGTATGTAATACAACTTTATTTCTTAATTACATATCGTAACCCTTCCTTTGACGAACATAACAGGGCAAGGCAATTTTGATGTCCCGTACTAAAATGCGCAAAACAGTGAGAATGGTTACGGGAAGTGCTCCGTTTGTTATTTCAATTTTAGCGCCCGATTTTTAGTTTTGGCTATGCTGATGGTAGCTATTTATTAGGCATTTTCCAACAAGTATGCTCTCACTATCGACTAACAAACAGGTCAGGTGCTTAATTGGGAAGGGGGATATCGGTTTTCTCCACCTGTTGTTTTGTTTGTTGTTCTTGTTGATTTTTTTTCTCCAGAGCATTTACGATGTAGGCTAACTATGGGGCTCTCGTTAGCTAAAATCTGTCAATCAGCTGCGTGTACGCCGCCTACTTCTTTGACGAGTCGCATGCAGTGTTCCGTTAATTGGTACAGTTCTTTGCCCGGGCTCGTGCGTTATAGGTTTCCCAGAGCAGAGCAGAGTTTCTAAGGGTTTCTTTACGCGTCCCTTCCCCGCGAAGGAAAGATTGCTTGACGAGCCAAAAGAACGTATGCGTGGAAGGCTATGTTGCGTGATAATAAAGCAATCTGTTCCCTTTCTTCCCTGCCTAGATTTCCAATTTTGGCTGGTTTCAAGAAAATGTTACTTTGACGTTTAAGCTAGCACATTCAGTCTTTCGGCTTTAAGCAATTTTGACTCACACTTTAGGCGGATGTAACAGATGGCGCCACAGTCAGCAATGGTCTGGACCTAACTCTCACGGAAATTTTTAATGGAGCGGTGTCGATGGTGGTGCCAATCCAATCAAACTACAGTCGAACCCCGGTTTACGGACACCTGCTCAATACGGGCACCCAGGCTCCTGGGGCACCTCATTCAGTTACTGACACTTCACTTTATTTGGGGAAAGGAAGCCCTTACATTTTCTCTAAATTCAACCCGCTTAATACAGTCACCCCGTTAATACGAACACCTTCTGTGCCATGGCCCTCAGTGACCGTATTAACGGGGTTTGGCTCCCAAAGGGGGGGTACTGCCATATATGGGCTATATAGGTATGTGCCGCTGTGATTCCTGTGAAGGGTATGGCCGTCTCTAGGATATAGCCTGCGTAGTAAGCGTTTCCAATCGAGTTATTGCGCGAAAGTTAGAGCGGGAGCATAAAAAAAGGTCCCAACTTTTCTCAACGAACTCGCTCGGAAACGCTCAGCTACGCAGGGTATCTAGGATAGGGTATATAAATCAGAGCGTTTGGGTCTAGAATAGGGTCTCATTTTTCAGGGAAACTGATCAGTTGTTGAAGATTTTATCTAGACTGTCGATTGTGGTATAAGGTTTTGTTTTGGCTAGACTACTGTACAGTAAAAAGCCCCGCTTTACGATTACCCGCTTAATACGGACACCTTATTATTATGGACACACTTAAATACCTTTAGCTTTAATATGGACACTAGGGGGCCACAGAAAGTGTCCGTATTTTATTTAGATGAAATGTAACGGCTTTCTTCGAACTGCACGTGTCATCATGACAAGAACGCTTAGCGCAAGGCATCGTGGGGGATGATCAAGTACGGGTGAACATAGCCTCGTTCTGATGCAAAGTGCACGCCATTATTGTCGGCCATGTTGAATGAATCACTTCATACGTACAAGACAAAACGGTCAAAATAATGTGATATTTATCGCGTTGTTTGGCCTCATTTTATAGGGCTTGACAAAACATAGACTTACGAAGCTCTAGACAAAAAACGAAGGATTCTTACCGTCTTTTGAAGCCATCACGTCATCTGTTAATCTTATAGACTTTAGAAGAGACTTTAGTAGAGAACAGAGTTTATCCCCACTTGCAAGTTTCAGTGGTGCAACTATGATTGATTTGCAAAGGAAATAGTTTTTTCGTTTCGTTTTCGTTTTCGTTTTAAGTATTTGTCCGTGGTTAAAATGAAGATTGACAGGAGTAAACTACGGAAAACTCAATCCGACGTGGTAAGTCAAGCACAGTTTTTAGGAACTTTCCTTTTTGAAAGTGAGCTTAAGTTTGTACATTGTAAAAAATGGCTAGCTAGACGTCTCTTGAGTTTTTGAGATATCCCGTGGAAGTTTCTGTAATCCACTTAAATAGTTAAATATTTGTCGAGTGAATAACATCTTCTGCCGTAGCGATTGTGGTGGCATTGACGATGATCTTTTTATAGGCCCCAGAGTGCAGACAGCTTATTCAGAGATTGAAGGAAGGAAGTGACTGCGAGTTGATACATATTCTCAAAGATATCAATACGTGGTACTATGGCAAGGTAAATTACTTTGTAGCAATATAGATCGGATCGTAAGGTTTTTTGAAACGGTCCTTAGACTAAAGCGTATTTTTACTGCAGTTGTCTTGGTTGTCTTGCAGAGGCGTCTTAGTAATGGGAGGAAGTTAATCAATGTCCTGATACTTCCGATTATTAAAACGTGCTTACATAGAAATTGACCAAGTCTTATAAAGCGTATATGTTTGAGTCTCTAGTATTATGAGAGAATGTCCATATTCTCTGTGTGAATTTTAGTCCATCATTTGTCAGAAATGGTGTCCAGATCTGTTATTTTTCAAATAGTGCATTCCATATTGTAGTATATGTAGCTTCAGTGATCTTCATGTGATGTTTCCCTTCATAGACTATATTATTATGCCTGTCTATTTATAGATTATATTTTGTACCATGTGGCCATCTCAGTGGGCAACCCAGGGCCGTACATAGCGGGGGGGCGAAGGGGGCAGTTGCCCCCGCCAGGAAAACTAAATGTTTTTTTTCTAACATAGTGTCTGATTTTGCTGGGCTGTTTCTTGTAGCTATATTGGTCCGAAATCTCACGAA